GCTTCGAAGTTGAGAACCTATGAATACAGATCACTTACAGAGATGGGCTCTACCCTTGCGCAGATAGCTGAGATGACCTCACTGTAGCCTTCTCCGAGTCCAGTGATGATATACTGGATCAATTCTTCCTCATCGATGGGGCGGCCTCCAGCAATTGCCATCTCATCTCCTAGAGATTTCATTTTAGCGAAATACTCAGGAGTTGTCATGTTACCTTTCTTCGTGTTGGTGAGAGCGAAGCGCGTGTTGATGCACCTGGCGCGAGTATGAGTGGAATACATCCCCTCAATGGCGCTCCAAGCCTCGGCTGCAGTTTCACAGGTTGAAACCTGCATGAGCACATCCCTCGTCAAGGACGAGAGAAGGAAGCCCAGAACTTGTTGATCAGTGGCTTCCCAGTCGTCGTACACCGGGTTCGCCGTCTTGTTTGTGGCGCCATCTACCGTGACGCTGATCTTCGCCGGTGGCTTCTTCGTCGCACCAGTCAGATGGCCTTGAAGCCGTGCTCCTCTGACGGCAGCACTGATTTGTACCTTCCAGAGGGCATGATTTGCCTTCCCGAGCTTCTCTGTGATCAGGTGGCCTTGAAGTGGATTGGAGTTCGTCGAGCTAGACGACAACGCCATTGGAGACTGATCGCAAGGAACGGATCAGAGCTCTGATACCATGTGGAAAGTTTCTGGGAGAAACAGCAGCACTCATGCTGTGCGCTGGATGCGTGTTGATCAGATGGGAATAGCCCCCATCGTGGCTTTTACATATATCGCTTCAAGGAAACAGATCCCTCAAATCTAGGAAACAAACTGCATGTGATAACAATCAAAACAAATCTTATCTATTCTAACTACCGGATCAATATCACATGTGGCGCAAGGCCTATCTTCAGCTGAATCAACCGAACCCTTATCATGTCATTTAACATCTTCGCCCGTCGCCGGCTGCACCCCTCCCCCGCCGCCCGTTGCTGAGCCCCGCCGGCCAACCGCGTCGTGCCGCCGTCATCAGGCCGTGCCAGGTCGCCACGTGCCGTGCCCGGCCTCGCCATCTGCTGCCATCTGCCTTACCCGTGCCAGGTCGCCGCGTGCCCCGCCGCCCGTAGCCGACCAGCACACCGTACGCGCCGCTCGCCGCCGTGCGCTCTCCCGCATCACCGCCGCCACACGGCTACCTCTCTGCGTCGCAACACACCGCCCGGCCGCCTTGCGCCCGACTCACGTCGACGAGCCGCACCGGGGTGAAGAGAAAGGCCAGGGGAGAGAGAGATAGCTACACACTGACATGTGGGTCCCACCACGCTGAGTCAGCTTGTCAGCCGGGTCAACAACGCCACGTCAGACGAAACCACCAGCAAAACAACCGAGGGAGGTGATTTGTTCTGGTTTTCGGAGATGGAGGAGGCGTTATACCCGGTTTTCCGGTTGAGAGATGTTATTCACACAAGCGCAAGAGATGAGGGAGGTAAAATGGACTTATTTCACAAAATAAAGGCGCATTCGAGAATATATCAGCCCAGTCCAACAGGTTAATTACCCGTTTCTCAATAATTCACCTCGCCGGATGGGCTTAAATCCTTTTTGGCCCAGCGCGATCGATGAAAATGCTGATTTTTTTTCATTTTAAAATTTGTATTTTTTAATATTTACAGAAATATTATATCATCCAAAATATTTACAGAAATGGCCCCTGCCACCCAAGTGGAGGGTGACAAGGTATGCGTATTTTGCATTGAGGTCCTTTGCTGCCCTCTGCAAAGGTTGCAAGTGGGCAAATGCAATTTTTACCCTGCCAAAAAATGTATTTTTCTAGTTTTTATTTTCATCTTGTCCGTTCCTCGCGTCACCCTACCGCCCTCAGGTAGGGCGGCAGGATCTACTTCTGTACAACTTTTCGCCGGTATAATATTTCTGTAAATATTAAAAAATAAAAATTTAAAAATGAAAAAAAATTCCAAAAAAGCTCAGATTTACGTGTCAACGTGATCCATGCATGCAGATGAGGAACATGAGTTTTGGACGAAGTTCAATTATTTTGTCTTCAAAAACTATCGATCGGCTTTTATCTGAGTGCAGAGCCTCCCAACCACAAAACCGGATAGAGAGTATCCCCCATCTATTAAACCAGAGTAAATCGGATCTCTCAGTGGTTTCGTCCAATATGATATGTTGACTTAGGCTCTATGCACCTACTTCCTCCGTCCAAAAAAAAAAAGACAAACCCTAGCTAGGTTTCCGTGTCCAACGTTTGATTGTCCATCTTATATGAAATTTTTGTATAATTAGTATTTTCATTGTTGTTAGATGATAAAACATGATTAATACTTTATGCGTGACTTGTCTTTTTAATTTTTTTTAAATAAGACGAACGGTCAAACGTTAGATACGGAAACCCAGGGTTTGTTTTTTTTGGACGGAGGGAGTACGTGACAACATATCACTATAAAAAAAAACATCTCTACCCTGTTTTCTCCCCGTATCTCTCTCCTGATCCTTAACCGATGTAATCCCAGAGTGCAGAAGCAGCAACGACATCGGAGGATGCGTGGTGATGGCATTGGAGGAGCTGGTCGTTCCCAACGACCTTCACCGACGTGCGTATGGCAACGGGGACGAAGGAGAAGGCAGTTGTTGTGTCGGTCACGGAGAGGCATGCAGACCGTCGGCGGCGGCGCACCCCCCAGGATGAGCATGCAGGACGTCCGTCACGGCAGCCTTCCCTCTCGGCGAAATTTCGGACTGAAATTGATGGCATGGCATGGCGACGGACGGGCGCGCGTACGTCTTCCCTAATCCCGATAGAACAGAAGATCGCCCCTGCCAAACCTGCACAGCGGCGTCGCCATGGTCCTAGACGACTCGACGGCATCGCACGTACGTACGCACGGATCGAGCGGCCGGCGTGCTCCTCTCCGCGCTGCTGCGTCCGTCACTGGCTTCAACTCGCCTAGCTTCCAGCTGCTCTCACCGACAACTTGCTGCTGGGGCTCGACGTCCGTCCACCATCGCCACCGCCACCGCCGGCCGGGTGAGCTCTAGATCGAGCTCGTCGCACGCCGGTGTGAAGAAATTAGGAAAAGGTGGTGAGGATGCTGACACCTGGGTCCCACATATCTCTTCAGGTTCAGGGGAGCTGCCATGTGACATGTGAGCGCTCTACGTCAATACAGATCGATGGACCTAGTCAACGTACCCATATACTAGTAATTAAAAGTTGGGGACCTTTTATATCCGGTTTTAATTTCTGTTTGACGGACGCAATTAAACTCGACCAATTGTTGAGGGATTTCAAGTGGACTTTTCTGTGCAATAATTTCCTTTCGTGTGTGAGAGTGGCCCAAAAAATGGCCCATGTAGCCCAAGTTTTAGAGCATTGCAGTACGTGTCTATGGTCACAAATAAGATGGCGCGTAGGATTAAATCCGTATGACAATGCGAAGTGAGGGTAGCTTAATTTGTTACTTAGGTTCCTTGGGTTAAAACCAGTCCAATCAGATTTAAGTCATAGAATTGATGTTTGTATTTACGACTAATTACGCTTTCGGTGATAGGTGATATATCCATCGATAGGGAGATACTCGTGGTGACTTTGTCAATCACAAGCAGGGTTTGAAATTTTGTTTCGAAATTTTCGAATTTTTGGTAATTTCGTCCCCTTCGGCAAGCTCATATCTCGTCCGAAATTTTTGGGTTTTTACAGTTTTTTGTCAATTTGATCAAATTTTATTCAAATTCATTCAAAATTTCAAAGTTTTCGAAATTTTGGTCCGCCCCCCCTCCTGCGGCAAAAAAAACAAATTTCAAAATTAAAAACCCTGATCACAAGATATACTGATCTAATCTTCCAGAGGTGTTCATATGGGTAAGGTGTACATGTGTGGATTCGTAGAAGTGAGTGTGCGCGTCTTTATGAACATTTGTATCTTTTTTCTAAAAAAGAATGTATGGCACCGTAGAAAAAAAGAATGTACGGTAATATACTCCCTCCGTACTCGTAAAAAAAGTCGTTTAGGATAATATTTAAGTCAATCCTTGAGAATATAAATCATGAATAACTTTCAAGTTGTTGAGTTTGAAAATGTAAAAATTATATGAATAGATTTCTCTTGAAAAATACTTTCATAAGTATACATATATCATTTTTAAATATTTATTTATAGAAACAAGAAGTCAAAGTTATGTTTTGGAGACCATATCGCTGTCCAAAACGACTTCCTTTACGAGTACGGAGGGAGTAGTTAATACGGTGAGCCTTAAAAAAATGTTTGACTCCAATCCCTAATAAATTTGAGTCGCGGAGATTAAAGACAACGTTTTGACATAAAACAAACAATTGTTATAGCATGGTAAATCTCAGTCATCTGGGCTGCAGAACATTATATAATACTCCCTCCGTCCCAGAATGTTTGACGCCGTTAACTTTTTTAAACATGTTTGACCGTTCGTCTTATTCAAAATTTTTTATGAAATATATAAAACTATATATATACATAAAAGTATATTTAACAATGAATCAAATGATAGGAAAAGAATTAAAAAATACTTAAATTTTTTGAATAAGACGAATGGTCAAACATGATTAAAAAAGTCAACGGCGTCAAATATTTTAGGATGGAGGGAGTAGTATATATTAAACATACCATATGCTGCCATGGGCCGGGCATCACTGAGCCACCAAGCAAAGTGAGGAAAAGCGAGAGCAACCATCAGGCCCTAAAAGAAAAGGCAAATCAGGAAGAAAACGGCACAATTGCCAGCCACAATAACGGAGGCATCGTTTGGGGAGTACTATTTCCCCCCCCCCCCCCCCCCCCCCCACAAACGAATCTGGACACCGACAACCCAACGAATCGAATCCTACTCCATTGTAGTATTCTTCTATAATTCTATTACTCTTAATTAGTTTATTACTACTCCTACTCCCACCTTGAATTGTTCTTCCATTGACTAACTAATTAATTAGTTAATTCCGTACTCTACCAAACACTTATAAATCGACCTATTCAATTTATTCAAACAAAATCGATTCGCCCTCCAATTAGATCAACTGAAACCCAATCAGAAAATCAACCAAAGATGATGATAAACAATATTTAATGCACTCGGAATGAAAAGACTAATCAATTAATTAAGCACGTACAAACACGGCGCTCAATAATTGCCAGTAGCGTTTTAATTTGCAGGTAGATCTCTCTTCTCTACGCCTTGACGAAGACGGTGTACTCGACGATGGTCTCGCCGGAGTTGGCGCCGGAGTCGACGGTGCGGGCCTCGACGTAGCCCCTCGCCATGCGGAACTTGCCGGAGCCGCCGACGATGCTCATCTCCCTCACCGCCGAGAGCACCTCGTTCCGGCCGACGATGGCGAGGGTGCTCCCCTTGTGGTCGCCGGCGGTGAACACGAAGTTCATGTTCATGAGGAGGCCGAACGTCTTCTGGTCGGCGAACGTGTAGCTCCCCTGGGCGCGCCCCACCTCCGACGACGACGACGCCGCGTCGGTCGTCAGCGGGTCGTCGATGGCCACCACGGCGCCGAAGAAGGTGGAGGAGCCGTTCGTCGACGCCGCCTGCGCCACCCTGATCGCCGTCGGCTTCGTCCCGCCCACCACGTCGTGGAAGTACACCTTGAACTTGGTCATCCCCGCCGCGCCGTCGTCCGCCGCCCGCGCCACCGCCGCCGCCGCGCACAGAAGCACGGCAAGAACGAGGAAAGCCGGTGACGCCGCCATGGCCGGAGCTGAGCAAGATGAGGAGGAGGGAGGAGGTAGCTAGAGCTAGTGAGAGATCGAGTACTTATGAAGCAAGAAATGGAGATTGGAGAGTGGTTGGTGTAGGAGATGATGAAATTCAGTGAGATAGAGTGGATGTGGCAGAGCAAGCATATGCAGGTTGCCTTTTCTAATGGGGTCGGTAGGTGAGGTGAGAAGTGGTGGCCAAGCAGTACTTAATTATAGTACTCACTTCATTGCTAAATATTTATCACCGTTGACTTTTTAAAATATATTTATCGTTCGTCTTATTCCAAAATTTTTGTGAAATATGTAAAACTATATATATGCATAAAAGTATATTTAACAATAAATCAAATAATAGGAAAAATAATTAATAATTACTTAAATTTTTTTTAATAAGATGAACGGTCAAACATGTTTAAAAAGGTTAACGGCGTCAAACATTTAGTACGGAGGGAGTATAAATTTGGCAATTAAGTTTTCTGCTTAATTAATTTATTAATAATTAACTAATATACCTAATTAATGTCCAGACTAATGAGGTGATTAGTCCTAGTATATTAGTACTGGGAGTTCCGTATAGTGAAGGCCAGCTACTACCACCAAGAAGTGACCTTTTGTAGCGTGGGCTGTCATGAGGTTAGTTAATGAGCTCATGCGTGCCCAACTCGTCAGCTAACTAATTAACCTACTTTCTTGTACTATACTAATTGTAGTAGTATAAGCTACTTTGTACAGGGAAGCAGATGTGTAGTTTGTACCTGCAGATTGGGAGCTGTTGCTCTTGAGGCAACTTAGATTAACTGTCTATGAATTAGACGGGCAACGATATGTGTACTACTTCTTTCATTTTAGATTATAAGACTTTCAAATATTGCCCACATTTATATAGGTGTTAATGAATCTAGATATTTTCAGATTATAAGACTTTCTAGTATTGCCCACATTTATATATGCATTAATTAATCTAGACATGAATATGGACAATGCTAGAAAGTCTTATAATCTAAAATGGAGGTAGTACACTTTTGAACTTTTTACAGACATTGAGGTATCACATTACGGTTAAATCTTGATTATTATTTTTTACAATTTTCAGTTGACTAAATCAAATGGTTAAGATTTTTTGTTAGAAAGAAGTTTGTATGGGATTTTTGTTACTAAGAAATTTGTAAGAAATTTTTAGTATGTGCAGCCACCATCGTTGTCACTATCGACACCATCCTCGAGCCCTAGGGATGCCAGATCCGGCGTCCCCAGGTGGGGGGACGCCAGATCTGATCGGCCCCAACCTCGTGGTGGGTCGATTCGGCGTTGGTTGAGTTTTCTCTCCACTCACGAGCATCGCCACCACCTCCACCTTGAGCTTCGGCCGCCCCCAAGCGCCGGCGGCAACCTCTCCACCTACAAGCTCGGTTTGCCACCGCCACCACCACCTCCTTCATCGAGCCACAGGGGTGCCATATCCAGCCTCCTCGAGGTCAGGAGGTCGGGGGGACACTGGATTTGACCGCCCCCAACACCGTAGTGGCTGGATCCGGTATTGGTCATGTCATCTCTCCCACCCACGAGCACCCCCGTCCCTCCGCCTCTACCTCAAGCTCTGGCTGCCACGATCATCGTCTCCTTTGCCCCCAAGAGCCAGTGGACGCCTCTCCATCCTCGAGCTCTGGCTACCGCCTCTTCCACCCCAAGCTCCACCTGCCCCCTCCAAGCTTGTTGTTCAACTTGCAAAAGACCACGACGGATGGTGGTAGCGGTGGAGGAGGAGGTCCTGGCGGCTAGTTGCAATCCTTGTCGGCAAGCTGCCAGATCTAGCCATGCGAGCCCCTATCGGCCATCCTAGGTCTTGTCTACCTTATGAGCCCCTTCCGAAGAGTATTGTTTCCACAGAAATTTCTTATGGTTCCTCATGTGAGATGTGAGATTATGTGATTGTGATGATCGAGATCTTCCATGTTTTTTTCCGCAAGAGATTTTATTGCATTTAGTTTGCAGTGAGAGATCCAAATGATTGATTCCTTTCTGTTTGTAGTTTTTTGACACTGTGTTGATACGACAACGATGAACAAGGATTAACTTTTTATTTTTTGCTTTTCCACATTAGTGCATATAAGTGACGGGTGCTAACATGTGAACTGATTTTTTTCCCTATTAAGCAGCTCATTGATGGGTGATAATATGTAGTCCGTTAGAGAACAATATCACCTGTGACGGGTGAAATTTTACGATCTGTCACATGTGATGAGTGAAATTTTACGACCCGTCACATATGATAGTCATCACTAAAGGATGCCTCCACCCGTTAGAGGCGAGAGGAGACAACACTGACCACTCATCTCTGACAAAGGTTAAATCCGTCAGAGGTGATGTTTTGGGCCTGTCACTGTTGATCTGGACTACTGTAGTGGCTGGACCTCTTTTCCTCTTAAAGCTTCCGATTAAGCTGTCTCCTATGTGATCCTTTGGGGCTTTCTTGGTCAGTGAAGTCAACTGTTTAGGTTAAGATCCGTCGTAGCAAGTCGGAGCTGCTTATCTTATTGTAAGCTTGATAAACAATCGATAAATCAAGCATGTTACAACAACAAACGATGTTTAACAAACATAAATGTGCTTATGTATGTCGCTCATCATCTTCTAGCTACGCCTTGACGAAGAGGGTGTACTCGACGATGGTCTCGCCGGACTTGAAGCCGGAGTCGACGGTGCGGGCCTCGGCGTACCCCCTCGCCATGCGGAACTTGCCGGAGCCGCCGACGACGCTCATCTCCCTCACCGGCGACATCACCTCGTTCCGCCCCATGATCGCCAGGCTGCTGCCGTTGTGGTCGCCGGCGGTGAACACGAAGTTCATGTCCATCAGGAGGCCGATCACCCTCTGGTCGGCGAACGTGTACGTCCCCTGCGCGCGCCCCACCACCTCCCCCGCCGCCGCCGCCGCCGGCGAGCTCGTCAGCGGGTCGTCGATGGCCACCACCGCGCCGAAGTAGGTCGACGACGCGTTCGTCGACGCCGCCTGCGCCACCCGGATCGCCGTCGGGTTCGGCCCCGCCACCACGTCGTGCCAGTACACCTTGATCTTTGTCATCCCGGCGCCGCCGCCGCCGCCGTCGTCCATCGCCCACGCCACCGCCGCCACGCACAGTAACAGAAGCAGCTGGAGAGCCGCCTTCGCCATGGCTGCAGCTGGAGCTTGAGCTGATCGAGCAAGCTGAAGGAGGAGCTAGTGAGAGGATGAGTGCTGCTAATATATAATTAATGTAGCTACTACTGCTGTACTCCTTCCGTCCTAAAAAAAACTTAACTTAGAAGGAGATGTGGCACATCTTAGTTATCCAAATTTGTTATATTAAAAGAGATCATATTTTTTCTTAGGTTGAGTTTTCGTGGGACAGATGAAGTATTTAAGATGAAAGGGAAGCAATGGATATAATGCGATGGGAGTGGTTGGTGTAGGAGATGAAGTGATGAAGCAGCATGCACGTGGTAGAGCTTTTTCCCTTTTCTAATGGGGTTGGTATGTGAAGTAGCCATCTCCTTGATTTAACCTATATTTAGCATCTCCTTAATTAGCCTATAGTTAGCATTTCTCTGTTTAATTATTCTGTCTTTTTTTCTATTATATATACTCCCTTCGTTTTTAATGAGACATTGTCAACACCTAACAATTCATCATTCATCTTATTTAAAATAAAATAAGTACAAATATATAGAAAATATAAGTCATATATACTTGAGCCGTGTATTTCATTCGTCCTAAAATAGTAACGTTTAGTCTTCAAAGTTTATTTAAAAATATAACAACATCTTTATCCATGTTCTCTTCCCAACTAATTACAACACTCCACAAATCAATTTCCTCACTTATCTTCACTTGCATCCAATCACAATCTTCCCTATTTAATTCTATCTGTTTTGTTAATAATTGTGTTCAACCCTAAAAATCCTAATATTTTGGGATGGATGTGGTATAAAACAAGTCGCAACAAAAGAAATAATGCTTATATAGTTCTTTTAGCAAGATAAATAGTAAAATTCTATGTTCAGAAATCGATAATTAACGTCACACATTAGAAAACGGAGAATGTGTATAGACTAATGAGGTGATTAGTCCTTAATAGTACACTAGTAGTGTCAGTAGTACAATTCATGCCACTACCACCAAGAAGTTACCCTTTTTTAGCGTGGACTCGTCAGGTTAGTAAATTGCATTACGCGTGCACATCTCATTAGCTAATTAAGCAAGCTATACTTTATAGTGCTGTAATATTTATTTAGTAAGCAACTATTAATTATTGTTAGTGACAGGCTGATAGTAGCAGGGAAGAATGTTAAGCATGTGAATTGTTTGTACCTGAAAACTGGGAGTAGTCGGTGTTAAGGCAGACTGACTGCGACTAGCTAAGATTCTTCAGACATTGGGGGTGGTTGGATGGTGGTGACACTGAAGAGAACATTATTCATGCAGGATTTCAGAAAAGGAGTTAACAATATGCAGTGGTGATTGGCCTGCTTAATTACATTTTGATCAACTGGTTTCATTATTATAGATATATTGAATTAATCATCCAAGTTATAGATATGCCACCTGAAGATTTTAATAATTGAGAAATTAAAATTAAGGTCGTGGTGTCAACGTGTCATCACTGCATTGCAGATCTGTAGTCACTGTTTGTCGATATGCATCTTGGTTCTTCTAGTGTGTTCCTATATTTTATCATCTTCAGGTTTGGTGGGTATAACAACAGTAATATGATAAGGAGAGAAATAATTGATCTGCCTTTTGCAGATAACCAACTTCACCAACACAGATTCGTTCTTCCTAATTTTGTTTTTTTTTATAATGAGAGTTTTTATTGAACCAGTTAATTATATCAATTTTTTTTCTCTCCTTACTATTTCAGAGATTTGTTATTACGAAAGCTCCCAGATTTAAGCAAAACGTAAATAAATTAGTCCAATTACTCATGCACGGTCCTGTACCTACTCATGCACGGTCAGAGAGTGCACATGATGGACTCTTGCTTGCAGCTAAATTTACACTCGCAGAATTAAGGAGTTGTAATTAACACAGTACGGAGTTTTTCATATTATTAATCTCTGCTTGCGTATACATTAACACAGTACTAGTAAGTTAGTTGCGTCAGAATTATCAACTTCACCCGTAGGAATTAATTCCTCTCTTCTTACACATTGGAAGAATCAGAATGCAATTATAAGGACTAGTCCAAATACAACAGGTCAGATAAAGTCACTCCAAACAAGTTATATTTAGAGCTGTCTCAGAGGACAGATGTGTTTGTTTGTCATTGGCACATTAGTGTGTGTGTATGTGTGAGAGGGATGCATATATACTTGAATTATTAGTTTCCTGTGTCAAGGAAGAGAAGCTAAGAACAAGACAGGGAGAGAGAGAGAGATTCAGAATTTTCAGACATGAGAGTGACTCAGTGGCACGGTGAAAGTTCCCTGACAGAAGTTTCCACCGATTATGCTGAGTTCTTTAGAGCTCATTGAGAAAAAAAAAGCCGAGAAAGCTATTAGCATATAATTAATTAAGTGTTTTAAAAAAATATCTATTTAATTCTTTAAAGAAACTTGTAAACAATTTCTTTTAAAAATATTGTTTATCAGTTAAAAAAGCATGCTAGTAGAAAACAAAGCACTGGTCAGCCCAAAAAGCTCAAAAGAACTAATCTTAACAGTGACTCGTTTGCCAAGGTGAAAGCCATAGGAAAGAAGTTGCCTGCAGCCATGAAAACATGATTGACCTGTATGACTACCAACCAAGGCTTTCAGTGCTGATCTGTCTGTCAAGCTATGTACTCTACAATTGATGATCTTGGGAGTAGTTTTTCTGGCCATGATCATCTGTAGAGGTTCGGTGGTGTGCGTAAAAGATAATACTCCCCTGACTGGCCGACCCTACCTAATTTTGCAGGTAACCAGCGCGTACCTTTGTCCCACCATGTTGCCATCGTTGTAAAGCTTTTGTTCTCGATCGATTTTCAGGTTCCAAATCCGATCGAATTTAAGCAAACAGATCGAACAAATTCCTCTGTGATAAAGAGCATAACTTTTCTCTACCCATTTCTCCATCTCGTTTTGTTCAGCAAAGAGTTTATTTGTGATGTTCAGTGGTGGTACAGAGGTTGTGATGATGTTCCAGTTGAGATCAGAGTTTTTGGAGATTCTTAGTTGGTATAATTGCGCAGTGGCACATATACTCCCTCCGTTTCAAAATGTTTGACACCGTTGACTTTTTAAGTACGTGTTTGACCAATTGTCTTATTCAAAAAATTTAAATAATTATTTATTCTTTTCATATCATTTGATTTATTATTAAATATACTTTCATGTACACATATAGTTTACATATTTTACAAAAAATTTTGAATAAGACGAACGGTCAAACATGTGCTAAAAAGTCAACGGTGTCAAATATTTTAAAACGGAGGGAGTAAGAAACATGCGCAATACGTACGAATTTTGTTTGGTTTGAAATGGCGAAAGATTAGCACAAATTAATAAGCTTTGCGCAGCTGTGGTGCCACTGAGCCTCTGAAGACTGAAGGAGAAAGAGAGGGTCGGAGAATTAAACTCCGTACGCACTGCGTAGTGGGCCGCAGCTTCACAATTCGGCAAATTGCACCGCGTTGGGCCCGACCCACTTCACAGATGGGCCTTCAGATTATGGCTGCTTCTTTACTTTGGAGGCCTGAAGGGCGATGGTCCAAACTGCATGCGGCCCAGTCATTTTGACAAGTGCTAGATAGATGAAATACTCCAATACATTAATCTTTTTTTTTAAAAAAAAATGAACGCAAGCATGTCCAGACTCCAGAAACCAGAATGACATGTGCGTATGAACAAAGTTATTGGCCGGTCGATTTTCATGGAGCAGGAGATATGGAAAATAACTGCGTACGGATGCTTATAATTTGGAGCGAGATTAATTCTTCTACCTGATGGCGTACGTTTATGTGTTAATTAATTTGGATCTAATTTGGAGTTGATCGTTCATGTTCGAAAGGGGGTAATTTTTAAAAAAATGGATTATTTGAATTTGACCCTGAAAGACGTGGAATGCATTGACCAGCTGCCGCATGCCGCGTTTCTACTTACCCATCACGTGGCCATGCTTACGTTTTTTCACACTATACTACATCCGCCATGGAAGCTTCCTCTTCCGGGTGCACTGCTGCTGACCTTTCTACTACCTCATTTCAAAACATAAACATTTTTAAAGATAGGCTGTGTTTGAGGAAGAGAGGATTGAGAAGATTGGGAAGATACGTAAAACGAGGTGAGCCATTAGCATATGATTAATTAAGTATTAACTATTTTAAACTTCAAAAATAGATTAATATGATTTTTTAAAGCAACTTTTCTATAGAAGATTTTTGCAAAAAAAAATGCACCGTTTAGTAGTTTTAAAAGCGTGCGCATGGAAAAGGAGTCGCAATCTCCCCTGTCTCCTGTGAACGAACGCAGCCTAAGGGTGTGTTTGAGAAGAAGGGGATTGAGGAGATTGGGAAGATACGCAAAACGAGGTGAGCCATTAGCGTATGATTAGTTGAGTATTAACTATTTTAAATTTTAAAAATGGATTAATATGATTTTTTAAAGCAACTTTCCTATAGAATTTTTTTGCAAAAAGCACACCGTTTAGTAGTTTGGGAAGCGTGCGCGCGGAAAACGAGATGTTTTCTCTCTCAATCTCCCAGATCACCTGGGAACGAACGAAGCCTAAGAGCAGGTACAATAGCAGGCTATTAGCTAGCTGTAAACATATTTTAATGAGATAAAAGATGAGAGAGAAGAGCAGTGGGCTACAGATCTGTAGCCAGCTGCAGCGCGGATTCCAAGACGCAATGTGTGCATGACATGTGGGACCATATATTAATAGTATAGTAAGCAACTATTGTATGAATTGGCTATTAGATTAGTTGTAGATGAATTGGAGCTAGTAGTGGGCTATACTATTAAACTTGCTCTAAGGGTGAGTTTGAGGGATAGGGGATTGAGAAGATTGGGAAGATACGCAAAACGAGGTGAGCCATTAGCGCATTATTAATTGAGTATAAACTATTTTAAATTTTAAAAATAGATTAATATGATTTTTTAAAGCAACTTTCCTATAGAAATTTTTTGCCAAAAACACACCGTTTAGTAGTTTGGGAAGCGTGTGCGTGGACTATGATGTATTTTCTCACCCTAACTTATCAGAACGAACGCTCCCTAAGGATAGAAACGGATAGAATTGGTAGCATCTGTTCGAAAAATATTATCGATTAATCTGGAATTGACCAACTATTTAGTGTCAACAAGAAGATCGAATAAATTAGAAAAAACTAAAATTTATATATTGTTAGAGTCGGAAACGGCAACACTTGTGTGGATACGACGCTCGGTTAGTGGGGAAAATTTTCCATGATTATTTTGAGTATATGTTATCTTGACGGGATGGTCAGTGTTAGGTGAACCAAGGCGTGCACAAAAATCTTGGAGGAATATTACCATCCATCAAAATAAAAAATTGTAACAAAGGTAAGCTAATGAAGCTCTCATTATTCTAAAACACATTAAGAACTTATAAACAATAATCATCCTCAAGAATACACCCCTACCAACAACAACAACAACAAAAATCATAGCTAGCGTTTTTTTACAGGGAAAAAAAAAGCATATGACACCACACCCAGCTTATATATTCTAGTAATCAACTGGTCAACACACAGCAAAAACCGGCAGTAAAATGAACTGATCAACACGATCATCATCTTCAATATCATCGTCTCAAGTAATGAGAATGAATGAATGAATTAATCGAGGCGGAGATGGATGTTGTACTCGACGGTGGCGTCGCCGGTGGTGGCGTTGAACCACCACGTCGTCGCCTGGCAGTAGCCGCGCGCGAACCGGAACACGCCGGTGCCGCCCACCACCGGCATCTCCCGCACGGCGCGCTCCGCCGGGTTGGCGCCGAGGATCGCGAGGCTGCTGCCGTTGTACGGGCCGTCGCCGGCGAACACGAAGTTCATCGCCATCATCAGCGACAGCGCGTCCTTGCCGGCGGCGACGTACATCCCCTGCGCGCGGCCGACCAGCCGCGAGGCCGTCAGGTTGGGCCCGTCGGTGAGCGGGTCGTCGATCACCACCACCGCGCCGAACCCCGTCGCCGAGGCGTTCGTCGTCGGCGCCTCCGCCACCTGCGCCACCGTGGAGTTGGGCCCGCCGCTCACCACGTCGTGCCAGAACACCCGCAGCTTCGTCTCCCTCTGCGCCTGCGCCGCCGTCGCCGCCGCCAGGACGAGGAGCGCCGCCGCGAACACGAAGGAGGAGGAGGAGGCAGCCATTGCTTGGTTCGGATTAAGCTAGCTTTAGCTGTGTGATGTGATTTGCGACGACGTGTGCATGGGTGAATTTAAAGGGGGAGGTCGGGGACGTGGTTGGTGTGTGCTGGATTCGAAGGTTCTTCGATCGTCGTCTACACGGCGAGGAAGGCGACTGCAAAAATGGTCGGATATATGCAAACAGTCAGGTTAGAAATATAATGGAGGATAAATTAGTTAACACTAGTGGAGAAAGGGGTTTTACTCCCTCTTCGGAACCCCTGTACTCCCGGTTTTACAACAGGAAGGACGAATCCAGGACTAAAGATAGGTATCTTTAGTCTCGGGTGAAATAACCGGGCTTAAAAATCCATCTTTAAAGATGGATAGGGGCCACATCCCAACTGTTTTTTTTCTTTTATTTATTGTTTCTTTTTGCTGCTTGTATCTATTCCCCCAGCCAAATCCACACAAATCATCAATCATGCACAATAAAAATTTCCACAAATCAAGCACAACAAAAATCATCCACAATACATACACATCCACAATCTACAAATCTTGTGAGATCATCCCCAAATCAACAAAAAAAATATCCAATAAAATATACAAACCATTCATCATTCACTACAAAAATTCACAAAATAAAAAAAATCCAGTCGCTGTTGTCGCCGCCCGGCCGTGGGCTGCTGGCCTCCTTGCGCCCGGCCACCGCACGGGCCACCGCCACCGGCCGCCGCCAAACAATACGTCTCCAATCCAGCGAGTAGATGAAAGAGCGAGCCATTCCTTGCCATGGCGGTATGCACTACTACAGAAATAATTTTTCTAGACAAGATCCTCTTTAGATTGCAGACAGACCGTAACTAGTCCAGTATGTAAAAAATCGTACTCCATTTTCGCATACAGCTCCTTAATAGGACCGCACGCAAAAATCGATTTTCACAAGTGGTCCTCTTAAGGATTCGCACGCTAAAATAAGCTTATTTTTACAGGCGAACCTCTCAAAGAGACGCCCGTTTCGCAGGCGGGCCTCTTAAATATATTTTTGTGGCGGGCGACGCGGCTGACAACGAGCAGCGGGCTGTGTGGTTGACGGCAAGCGGCGAGCGGATCCGCCTCCGCCGGCCTCGTAATGGGCGGCGGATGGCGTGGCTGACAGCGGGCAGTGGGTGGTAGCAACGGACCACGGTGGCGGGCTCCCCCGCACGTTGAAGGAGGCAACGACAGCTTCCTTGCACGGAACAGTCGGGCGGCGAGCGGCAGCGATGGAGCACGGCGGCAGGCTCCGTCACACGTCGAATGTGGCGAAAGCGGCTCCCACGCGGATCCAGCGGGCGGCGGGCACCGCCCGGATCTGCTGGCAGAGGGAGGAGCCCGGCGGCGGTGGCTAGAATTTTTTTGCGATTTTTAATTTTTTCAGATTTTTATTTTTAAGTGCGGACGATATAAGCACCCGCATGCAAAAGTTGAATTTTCGTATGCGGGTGCTCCACTAGCATAGAAAAAGAGAGATTTTTTCATAACTTTCCTGGTAGACGGGCCAGAGTTCCGCATGCAAAAATGATCACTTTTGGCCCATCTTGAGATATCTAAATTATTTACACATAAAAATTTTGGTATCATGGAATATCTAGTAGTTGAAGATATACCAAATTTTACATAAAAAATACGATATCTCATAATACCTTCTCTAAAAGATGAAAAAATATATTATCTTCTGACACCTTCTTAAGGTTAGCTCTAGCTGATCGTGTGTTCAATTTAGACTTTGATTAATTTACATTGCATTCTTCAATAATTCTTGCATGCTTGGATTAACTACATGTAGAAATTCTTATGGCATTCTTGCGTGCATGCATGCAAGTTGGATATGTTAATTTATTTTAAATTCTTTTGGCGTGTGAGAGGGTAGGAATGGACTGGGTCGGTGATCGGACTTTTGAAGAAGCTGGCAACAGATGCAGTAGGTGAAGTGCTGACTGTGAATTGGTACGTATGAACTACTCGCATCGATCTCTGGGGTTTTCTTCTTCTTTTCTTTTTTAAGGTGAAATTAGCACGCGTAGCCGCGTATATAGGTATTTGGTGAGATGAAGGCATGCTTGGTTTAATTAATTTCCAAGCTTCTTCGGTATATATGTTCTAGAAATCTATTGATGTAATTAAATATGCTCCGATCATCACCTTTGGTCTTTGGAACGTCTGTACGTGTCTATCCAAATTGTGATAACAGAATTATAGCAAAGTTATGTTGCTTCTGTATGTTCAAAAATCAACAGATTTTTTTTTGAACGCTTAGAAGTTCTTGCTGACAAGGCCTCTAGTTTAACTTCGTTTGTGCTAGGCTTATTCCGGGTCAAGTCGGGTCAACAGAAAAACAAATCAGTTTATAGTTCAGTCCAAAAATATTTTGTCTATAGTCCAAGTATTGGCAATTAAATCGTACAGAAATTGTAACTGTACAATACTTATTTACAGCTCGTTAAAGCCAATGTCTACAACAGACAACACTCTAAAGAGAAAGGCACTCCTACAGAAAGCTTTTTCTCAAACGATCATATATATTCAGCTTTTTCAAACAGACGCCAAACATGTATAAAAATACTGATTGTTATGGGCTGGCACCGTAACCACATGCAAAATCTTATTTTCGTAAGCGGACATGTGAAGATGTTCTCCTGCAAAAGAATTTTAGCCATAAAATCTCCAAGATAATTTATACCCCTAGCCACCGTCAAATCGGGTAAGCTTGAAGGCTAGCGTCGTAGCTGCCCAAAGCGAGGTATGAGAAGAGGCGATGAAGCTGTCATCATTGTCCCCCACGTCGAGCTCCACCAGATCCAACGAGCCTGAAGCGTGCTGCCACTACCCAAAGCTCAACCGTGGGAAGCGAGGGACGGGGAGAGGCGATGGAGGTCACCATTCCTGTGCCGCCGACGGTGGATCCGTCACTCCTGAGGCCATTGGAGGTGGATCGACTGCTCTCGAGGCCAGCGACATTGTCCAGTCAGCTCGCGGCAGCGGCTCTTCCCTGTCAAAGAGCCGTAGCCATAAACGTTATTGCCGTCACAGTCCTCACACAAGTGCAATGGCTCGCCGCCGCCACCCGTCGCCGGCCACAAAGCCATTGCCGGCGACCTGCTCGCCGTAACCATATTGGTGGCTCGGACCCGGCTGGTCTGGATAATATTAGACTACACCGCCGCTGCCATAGTTGTTGTCGCCGCCGACGTTGTATTGTTGTGGTTGGCAGTGGCGCTGTCACCGGCGCCGGCGGCGGTGTGGTCTGGGTTAGGGCCAGAGCGCTCGCCGGCGGCGGAGGTGGAGCAGGAGGGCTCCTCCTTGATGCACAGCTTCTTGTCCTTGGCCCTGGGGGTGGCCCTGATCCGGGAGAGCACGGTGGCGGGGAGCGGCGGCGAGGTGATCTCGTACTCGTGCATGACCCATCCGGAGGAGGAGCTCTCGCCGCGGCGGTGGAAGCTCAGGTTGCGCCGCTTGTACACCACGTCGAGCTCGCCTCCGCCTCCGCCGCCGCCGCGGACGATGGTGAGGATCGCCACCTCGCCCTTCTGGATCCGCCACACGCCGCCGCCGTTCTTGACTGCGCGCTGCACCTTGCGCCTGCCGCCGCCGCCGCCGCCGCCGACGCTCTCGTGGTCGTGGACGAAGAAGGCGTGCGCGCTGGTGGCGTGGCCGTGCTCCCGCATCAGCGTCCACGGCTCGCACCTCGACACGTCGTCCTGGATAACGGCGGCGTGGCCGCGGCCGTAGAGCGCGCGCGGGAGGAGGTAGGAGGCGACGATGTCGGCGTCGGTGGGGTCGAACTTGAACGCGGGAAACCAGGAGAATCTCGAGAACCCGAACCTCCACGCCTCCATGCCCGCCACCGCAACCCGCTCCTCGTCCTCTCGCACCGCCGCCGGCGCCTCTGCCGCCGATGAGGTCTGCTCATCTTCTTGCAGGCTACGCGCCGAACGTTTCCTCGACGTGGAAGCCATCGAATTCGTTCGGAGATCGATCGCTCGATGGGTCGGTTGCAAATTTACCTTGCAAATTAAATACAGAGAGGTTTACTTCGATTCCTACTCGGATTGTGTAAGTGTAATCGAGCGATGCGTTGCTCCCCACGTCGGCCGGCAATCGAGTCGGCGAGCGCGAGGATCGCCGCCCGGAAGGAGATTCTTCCTCGCCGCGGTGACGAGAAGCAGCCGGAACGCCGGCGAGCGCGGGATCTCGATCGTCGCCGCGGCCATGGCGGTTTCGCTAGCCGCCGCGCGCACCATAGGTCCACAGGTCAAGTGTGATGCAGGCGATGATTCCGAGACAACGCGAACCGTTCAGATTAGATCTAACGGCTGGCTGTGGTCAACTTTGAGTCTTTGACCATGACGGCTACTTGATGGGCCTAATTGGCCCACATAAAACGTGAGACACCATGGGCTGCCTTCGTTGGTGAAAACGGGCGGTCGTTAGCACGTAATTAATTAAGCACTACTAGCTATTTTTTAAAATAAATGAATAAGTATGATTTTTTAATCAATTTTCGTATAGAATTTTTTTTAAAAAAGAACGTAATGTTTTATAGTTTGAAAAACATACGTGTGGAAAATGAGAGGGGGAGTCAGGGACTGCTAAAGCTGTTGACGAAAAAATCGAACACATCGGCCTGGGAGATCTGCTTAACTCCAGTGCAGGTCCAAAGATTGGTGAGATGCGAGCGTGCCAGTCAGTTTGATCCTGCAACTGACAAGATATGCAAATAGTAGATTAAAACAGCCGATCGGCCGACAAGCCGATGGAGTAGTTCCAGCCGATGCCGATAATAGCCGATGCCGATACCAGCCGATAGCGATAGGGTTTAAGCAATCGACTATATGTCCAATGTAGATAATGATATAAAGGCAATCGGCTGACGATGATGTAATAAAATAACAATGTAATCAAGTATAAACCAATCAGCAAATAATGATATGATAAATAAGCATCGATCCGAAGGTCAAAGCACACATCGGCTGGAGGTCCGATGTCATGAAATCCACAAGATTAGCTTAAACAATGAAGCCTTTGTTGTCATCGGCTAAATCCAACTTATATGTATATGCAATCCTTATGAGCCGATGCAACGTCCAGATAACTCACCGGCTGAAACCCCGATGAAACACTTATTGGCAATCAAGAAGCAGGCTAGAGATTATAGTTCTAAGCACGACTTAGTAGATCAAACTTAACTGATGCAGCACTAAGTATGAAAAGAAATATAATATCTAGACAATCAAGCCGTTGACTGAGTTTTCAGGGTGGTAGATGTCTAAGCTAATCTAATCTAGCAACGCGATTTAGCCGATACCGGCAGAAACCCTAAAATGAGAAGCAGCCGATAGAACTAAATTGATATGCTAAGACTAGATTAACAGAGATATATGATAAATAGATAGGCAAGTATATCATCCAAACCAGAGCAATCCAAGAGGTCGAATGTACTGATGCAGCCTTCAACGACGCCGACGTAAACGATACAATTGCCTGGGCCGATGGAATATTGGACTTATCCCTTCACCGGAGATCGAAGACGATGCAGCCCCGCGTCGGGTGCCAAGTTCCGCCGAAACGTAAAAACAAAAGTAGAAATAAAAAGGGTGGCGATGCTCCGAATTGTATTGATCGTGGAGATAGATTACATAGACCCCGGGTGTACATATTTATACCCAGGGGTTGATACAAGTCCTTGTCGGACAAGAAAGAAACTAACCTAAAGATAAGAAAGAAACTAACCTAAATATAAAAGGAAAATATAAAGTCCTTATCGGACACTAAACACACTTTCCTAAAGATAAAAGGAAACTAACAAACTATTCCTAATTAATAGATAAACTGCCATGCCGTATCCTCTTTAAACTCGGTCACTTAGGGATAAGCTCCCTTTAATAGATTGATTTCCTTAACCGAATATAGCAGGAATCCGACTATTGGCGACTTGATAACTCCCATCGGCTGATTCCGAGATGCTGCAGCCGATAATGATTCTAAGCGGATGGCGTCTTTACCGATTATCAAATTTCACTGTTAACAGCCGCCCATATCGCTTGACGTATCTTATTTGAGGCCAGAGTTTTAATCACGATACTCAACGGTAAAGTCAACTATAATATATTTTCTCATTAAATAAAATGTCAAAATAATATCAAGCTCGAAGTATGACTGACGTGACGTCTATGTTAATAAGGAGTACTCATTACAACGTAACATATTATCTTAATTTGTTTTGTTAAAATGTTGATGGTTGTTTTGGGTTCCATGCCCGCATGCAACATGTAGCTAGGATACGGATTTTCATTCCTCGACGGAACATCCTTCGTTATTTATATACCATCTAAATATTTATAAAATTTTTTAAAAAAATTTATAATATAGATTAATACAAAATATATCACTCCACAAACATGCAAGACCAAATTCAACTTCTACAAGTTGTAACAAAAATAACAAATTAAACTAAAAATAGTTATCGTATATTCGCAACTATATTTGTTATTTTTGTTATAACTTGTAGAAGTTAAATTTTAACTTGCTTATGTTTGTGGAGTGATATATTTTATATTAATCTATGTTGCTAATTTTCTTTTCATATTTTTTATGACTATTAGGTGGTATGCACGAAACTAGGGATATCCCTCGAGAGATAAAATCATTTTCCCCATGTACCTAATACTATTCTCATCCTAAAATAATTTCATTTTTCATCCATCTCATGTATACCAATATAAAACCAAGAAAGCTAAATTACTCTTAATTTATCAAATCGCAATGTAACTATTTTTCACCTTATTTTAAAATAATAATTTTTATTATAATAAATTCTAATTTAATAATTACTCTAAAAATAAATTTATTTTATGCTAAATAGAAGGTGCTAATTAAAATGAACTTTATTACGGGATGGAGAGGTAGTACATGATACAGTAGTAATTGACACACAACGTATCGCTACCTGGCTAACTAATTACTCCCTCCGTTTTAAAATATAAACTTCTATGATCGGATTAGATATTTCATACGTCCTATCCGATATTAATTAGGTTCTTATATTTTGACACAAAGGAATAATAATGAATCAGTTAATCGTGGCGGATATGGATATCGTACGGGACGGTGGCGTCGCCGGCGGCGTTGTACCAGTACGTGGTGGCGCGGCAGTAGCCGCGGGCGAAGCGGAACGCGCCGGTGCCGCCGACCACGGGGATCTCACTCACCGGCCTCGCCGGGTTGGGCCCGAAGATGGCAACGCTGCTGCCGTTGTACGGCTCATCGGCGGCGAACACGAAGCTCATCGCCATCAGCAGCGACATCGTCTCCTTCCCGGCGCTCACGTACATCCCCTGCGCATGGCCGACCAGCCTCGACGGCGCCGTCAGGCTGGGCCCGTCGGTGAGCGGGTCGTCGATGACGTACACAGTGCCGAACACCGTCGCGGAGGCCCTCGACGTCGGCGCCTCCGCCACCTTCGCCACCGTCGAGTTCGGCCCGGTCACCACATCGTGCCAGTACACACGCATCCGCATCTCCTTCTGCTGCCCCGCCGCCTCCGCCGCCGCCGTCACGGCCTGGAGGAGTAGCGCCGCCGCCGCGAGCACGAAGGACGACGAGGCTGCCATTGCTTAATTAGCTAGATTAATGTCGAAACAAGATTTCGGCAATAATAAAAGGGGTGGCTATCAAGCTAGGAAAGTGGATGAGTTTGGAGACAAGGAATTTTATATAGGTTCAGGCCTTCTTATTCAACAAGTAATATCCTACTCCTGTCCGGAGATGATTCCGCCGAGTACGTTATTGATTGTATAAATTGGAAAAAAGAATCGCGCCCCGAGAGGCACACGGACCCTCCTTATATAGGGGAAGGAGTCCGCTTTACAAAATACAGCCCATATCCTAACGGAATATGGGATTATAGATAAAATACAATCGTAACCGACTAAGATCTCGGGTATTTCCTTGACATACAAGTAAAAAACTAACCCGAGTCTTCATAAAGATATTCTATCTATATTTGGTACCGTATATCCGACTAAATTATAACTGTCATGTAGAAATGGGATATCCATATTCTCCACAGTAGCCCCCGAGACCTTCGCAGTTGACAAAACAACCTTCTCGAAACAAAAAACAGCAATCCGAGTGCTTCAATTCAACTTGCTCCAGTTTGCCGAGTGCTAAAATCAAAGACTGCGAAGGGCGAAAATAAAACATGGTGCATCGAGTAGATGCACCTAATTAGGTATAGCCCCCGACTATGTAATTAGTTGAAAAACTAAACACGTAGTCAAGAACCGAGTGGTTTTATCAACACTCCTTGAACATATCAAGGATAAAAAAATATGAAAGGGCCGAGTGATAAACACTCAAAAGGTCCAAAAATAGACATATTTGATAGGAATCCGAGTAAGAAACTCTTAAAATGATTCACCAAACATGATAAAAAATCACGGTAATTAATGAGTCTAATAGCCTAGGCTGTGACCCTTACAATAACCAAAATAAGCATATAACATGCTAAAAGAATAACTATTAGTAAACCAGTCATCTCAAATCAACCCAAACAGCTTTTGCAGCCTAATAAAGCTTACAAAAATGGTATAACACCTTTCTGTCGGGCACCTTTTGTTTGCATCGTGTTAATTCCAAAGAATTATCAAACCGCATTAAAAAGGGTTTTAACAGCATTGGACCACATCATTGTGAGCACAAATTGCCAAAGCAAAAAGTGCCTAAGTCCCTAAGGATCACAATGGGCCACGCTGGAAATAAAATTGGGCTGAAGTACTGTGCCGGCCCAGGCCTGCTAGCGCTCCCGATACTCTAATATCACCGAAGTGAAAAATGTCTCTTCGTCTTCCCCGCCGAGACTCTCACCATTTTCCCCATTTCCTGCTACAGTACAAACTGCGCCGGCCAAGCTAGGGTTCAGCAATCCGCTCCAATCCATCCTCAAACACTCCACAAAATTTCTACCCGCATCCACCGCTCCAATTCCCCATCCCTTTCCAGCCGTATCTCGGACCAAATCAAACCATCCAGTCCACATTCATGGCGGAAGAGAGAGAAAGCTTCGAGAGCCAGTGGGCGTCCTCCGATGTGACGGAAGATAATCTAAAGGAGATGGTGGCGCACGGCGTTCTTCCAGCAAAGGAGATCATCGGATGGCGACCAGCATTCGGCGAAGCATTCCCGACCCCCGATACACACGAAATCGTGGTATTTGCTCATTTCTTCTATGGCGGATTTTCTCTTCCAACCTCAAGGTTCTTCCGGGGAATTATGAACTTCTACAGGATTAGCTTGCATCATCTGAATCCAAACTCTATAGTGCATATCGCCAATTTTATTCATGCCTGCGAAGCTTTTCTGGGCATTAGGCCTCATTTCGCCTTGTTCTGCCGCATCTTCTTCCTCAAGCCCCAGCCAAACAAAAGCAAACCATGTGTTGTTGGGGGTGCTGGTTTCCAACTCCGGGGAACGCTAAGCCAAAAATACTTCTCCATGCCCTTCAAGACCTCAAACAAAGGCTGGCATGCAAATTGGTTTTATGTTCAAAACCCTGAGCCTGCTCTCCCCGAGTACTCCTGTCTTCCTCCAGTTTATCGGGATACTTGGAACTCACTGCCAATGGGAGACGAAGCTGCACAAGCAGTGGAACTGATGGAGCGCATGATAAAGCTGAAAGAACAAGGCCTTCAGGGAGAACAGATCACACGGCACTTTATCAAGTGTCGGTTAGCTCCAATCAAAGAGAGATCTCGCACAGCCTTCGAATTTGACGGCAAGCACGACCCAAATCGTGAAGATCCAGATTCTCTTGACTTCAAGGTCATGAAGGAAAGGATGTATAAGATCTTCTCTAATGCTATCGTTGTCAGCTATTCACACTTGCTGCCAGTCGTGCCATTCAATGCCTTTAATCCTCCTCCACCGGTATGTAACCGAACACTTCAACTTTTCACAGAATACGGTCTTATCTGTTTGTTGAATCAGTTAACAATAAAGGATGTCACGCCCAGGAATTTGCTCTGATGAAATCGGATCCGCCAATCGCTCAACGCCAATCACCTCACCGCCAAACTGGTCAGGGAAGCGGAGGACCAAGAATCCGGTCTGAAACTCAACCAAGTGCTCCTGATCCAGTCGGCCAGCCAAATTCTCGCAAGAGGAAGCTGGTTCTAAGTGACGACGAAGGCGACACTGCTAGAAAGCTTGGAGACCGAGAGGCAACCAATAAACTGCCGAAGCAGGCTACTCCAAGGAAGAAAACATCCAGTCGTCTTGTGCCAAAGATCAGGAAGTCTTCTAGGTGCAACTCATATTACGATCTTCATTGCATTGATGCGTACCCATTGCGATAATAGTACTGACAATCAAACTTGCAGGAAACCATCTGATATAGACCCATCTGGAAAAGACTCTGACCCGACCAACATGGAGGCGAGTTCCTCAAAAGAAACCGGGCCGACTGCAAAAGATCTCCCGAGTGATAATCTGTAGGCCAGCAACAATGTAGAACCCAGCGACGAACCCCCGACTGGAAACCAGTCGGCCGAAGCCGAAGCCGGAGTTAATCAGGAGCCCCCGACTGGAAACCAGTCGGACGCAGGGCCAAGCCAAGAGATTCTAGAAGTTGAAACCCAAGCAGACAACCCTCGCGGACAAGACGCCAGCAATGACTGGAGATCTGGATCTCCTTTAAGGGCATCCGAATCCACTCGTCCTCGTCCAGAAATCATTACGGGTAAACACTTTGTCTGAAACCATGTTGACCCAAATAACTCTGATCAATTGTCTAACCTTTGTCAGTGGATACATTAGGACCAATGATTGGTGATGAAGAAGAAATTCACCGTGGTCAAGTGGATACACTTTGCCGAAGATTCGTGCTCTCCCATTCTGGTCAAGTGGTGGGATGACAACTTGCAACCTCAAGGAATTGTAATAAACCGGCAAAAAGAAGATGAAGAAGTCTGCCTACTGAAGAAGGCACTCAACCAAGCGACTTGCATTGTAAATGTAAGTTCCTTGACACCTGACCTCAGCCATCATGTTTGCCGTCTGGCTCGAGCGCTGATTAAACTGCTCTGCAGAGGATTCATCTTAGAAACGAGGCGAAAACCGCAACCCTTGAGAAACTAGTTCCTCATCTTGGAACCCTTGAAACCACCAGGAGTCAACTGCACGAGGCCAGAGAACTTGCCAGAAAGAATGAACACGATCTGAGGGATCGGATTGCTAAGCTCCAGGAATCCAATTTTGAACTGAGTGGCTCATCCAAAGGTTCGCGCAAACTCTGCCCAACTGATTTGTGCTGTTATCTCTGTAATCTTGATTAACCGAAGTTAATGTAGTGCAAGCTGCCAAGATATCTCAACTAGAGAAGCAGATCCAAACTCTGGAAAATGACAAGGCAGAGCTGGCAAGACAGTGGGATTCGGCTTTAAAGGAGGTTGAAGGTACCAATAATCAATACCTCAAAAGCCATTATCTTCTATATGCTGATTCATTAATGTGAATCTGTTGATGCAGACCGCAAGATCAAGTCTCAAGCACAGTTTGATGTCTTAGTTGACAAGATCAACAAGCTTGAAGGAGCCAGGGATAAAGTCGCTAATGCCGCTACTCCACTCATCCAGGCAATGTTCTTCAATAACGCCGGTTCGAGTACACTTGATACTGCCGAAATCTTCGACAAGCTGAGAGTCGCTCCAGATACTTATTTCAAGAATATCAAAGAAGCTGGAAGTATGGGAGCAAGTCTGGCATTGGCGATGACCAAATCCCTTTATCCAAGGGTTGATATGGATGCCATTGATGGCTTTGCAGACGGGACGAGCGAAGAAGCTGCTCTTGACCTCATTAACGATGCACAGAAAGCCGCTGACAAGATTGCTGCTGATGTGGTTGAAAGATTCCAAGAAGTCGACCTTCGGCCGACTGGATCTGATAAGTCTGATGATGAAAAAACTGATACTGATTGATATAACAATGATTTTGATAATTAATGATGATGGAGGCTCAATTTGTACAATACTGATGAATTTATGCTATGCTTGGTGTTCCATACTTAGCTTTTGATTTCTTAAAAGCCTTTATCTAGCCTTATTGAGCCTAAAACCCGCAAAAGCTATTAAAAACCTTCAGTCCTCATTGACTAAGTCGAAAGACCAAACAGGGCAATGATAAATCAAGTAAGCAAATTGAATTGATAAAAATCACACTCAATTATTATCATAGTAGCCCCCCGACTGAAAACTTCAAGGAAAAACTTGAGGTTAGCAGTCAAAGAGGAAAGATACAAACGTAATGCCTAAGCATAAAATTGATGAAGGTGTTCAATATTCTAAGAATTGTTGATGGGAGTACCATCTTCGCGCTTGAGTCGATAAGAACCTGGCTGTCACGCCCGGAAATTCACTAGTAATTTCCGAACTTATTTGTGCATTAAACCCTCGTCCAGGAATCAGCCGAGGTACACAAACTGACAATTTAATATATAGATTTATCACATTAACTAAAACGATAAATACTTACTTAAGAGGCACTTAGTCCTCACCATGAAGAAAACTGCAGCGGAAAAATAAAATCTAGCGAAGCTCCGGCTCCACTCCCACAGGCAGCTCAACTGGGGTATAAGCCAAACGTCTTCTCCTTCTGGATCCTTTATCTTCAACTGAGGTTGATTGATTATTGCAAGAATGAGCATATGACATACTCAACAAGCCACACAGCAAATATGCAAGTGCACAAGGATTCCAAAGGATGGCATAATATAGGCTCATTTGCGAAAGCAGCATTTAGCAAAGAGTTAAGAGTAGTAAAACAGTAGAGTAATTAATTAAAAATTTTAATCAACACTGAACAGCACACCCATGCTGCACAGGCCCAACCATCCTGAACAACCATACCCGGCTGTACAGATCTAACTCCAAACCAGGAGCTAAGCAAATTATTACCAGTTATAGCATCCATAATTATCGTGAGAGGTGTGAGACTAATCACGAAAAACATTGCTCAACCCGCCCATAACCGCGGGCACGGCTATTCGAATAGTTTTACTCTGGCCAGAGGTGTACCACTGTACCCACAAGACACAACCCCACATCATGTCACCATGTGCCTCAATACCACCACGGTACCTCGGAAAGGAGTTGTGACAATACCCCTTGCACAACATAACCCATTACAGCGCACCTTTCCTGGATCATAATCACCCCCTTATAAACAAGGCATGGACTCCCCAGCGACCCCCGTGGACTTCTCGCCACTTCTCAGTCTGGCGCACTATAATGAATCACGCTATACAAAAGATAAAGCCGTTGCCCATGCTGGCTTGTGGTTGGCACGGTAAATGTTTCACAACAGTAGCTCGCGAACCGGTCCTTAATTGTCATGAGCACAACCATCAAAACCATATGCTCACAACCCACCATTATCAAGTTTTAGTTGGCAAGTAATTAATTAACCAATCACGATTAACCATCGTGAACTATCATTAAGCCATCCTTAAATAATAGTGAGTCATAAGTTATCCCAATAGTGTGCTAATGTTTCTAAGCATGGCTAAGCAATCATAACTAATATCTAGCTGAACCAATATATAAAGCCCAACTAGTCAAGTTATAATAACCCAAGGTATCAAGGAATAAAGTAATCAATGTAAATTGGCCATAACAAAGGAATAAGTTCACACCACCCGGTGACATTCGAAAATAAATGCACAGTTGAAATAAATAGAGAATTTAAATATAGGATCAACATGCTCAAAGGATTGTGTTTAGGATCTGTGTGACTTGCCTTGCAATAATCGGTCTTCAAGTAATCTTCTTGATCACTTCCGACGCACTCACGAACCTTCGCAACGACGGAAACGACAAGCTAACACGCAAAACGAAGAAAAAGACTAATAAAAACCAAATAAACAGTACATATAAAGTAAACAAACATGTAGATCATGATTTTAGATGAATTTAGCAACTTGAACCACTCAAAACCGAGTTACCATGATTTAGTTATGAATTTCCGAAGATTTAATCTATTAGAAAAACAGGAAAAAGAAAAACGATGATGACGTCATGATGACATCATCAATGGCCGGACCAAGATGGCGACCTCGCCGGAGATAGAGCGACCGGCTGCGGATTTGGAGGACATGAACACGTAGAGGACGACGAGACGAACCCAACGATACTCACCCTCGTGCCAAACGACGAACGACGACGGCCGGCGACTCGGCTTGCACGGTGGCGACGGCTCTACGGGTCACGGGAGAGGACGGGAGAGGGGGCAAACGAAAGAGGAGGACTAGGGGGTCCTATTTATAGCCTTGGATTGAAGAGATCGGACTCCTCCCGCAAGAAATCGATCCGGGAAAATCAAAACTCGGTTTTGGAGATAAACTCGAAAACGAGTTTGATTCGGATAAAATACCCAACGATTTGCTCCGATTCTTGGGGGAAAAGATAGAGGAGGATGAGAGGATCAAAACCCCTCAAAAATCCGGAAGAAACGGGGTCGGATTGGAGCGGATTTGGAGGCGGAAGGCGGCGCAAGGTGGCGGCTCGGGCTCGGCCTGGCTGCAGCCGGCTGAAGGTTAGGGACGACACTGTAGCAGGGAGGCAAAGTAGACTTTTGACGGGCTTCATTTTCCTCGGCCCGATTGAAGGAGGGAGGCAAAACAGACTTTGACAGAGAGAGAGAGGAGGGGGCGGGCGGCGGCAGCTGGGCCGATTGGGCCGATTCGGCCGCGCGGAGAGAGAAAGAGTTGGGCCGAAATCGGCCCAACGACTTAGGGAAGGATTTAAAAACTTTTTCCAATTAAAATAATCACTTAAATGATCTTTCAATTGTTAAAAATACTTCCAATGCTCAAATAATTTCAAGAAAAATTCTGAAAATACTTGGACACTCAAAGTACTTAAAAAAATTATAATTAGACCATTTAATGATTAATTTAATATGTGGGTAATTACTGAAATGCTCTTTGTATGATTAAAATTAAGAATTGAGCTCCGAAGAATCCGAGAAAATTCCAGAGAGTATAATTAACCATGGAGAATTTAATAAAAATTAAATCCAACCATGCTTTATATTTAGGAAATTTTATTTCCCACATTTAACTTCACTTGTAAATTAATGAACATTTAATATAAATTCTATTATTAATTTATTAAATAATTTATAAATCCTGAAACGAAAATCAGGATGTGACACTGGCCGAGTAACTTCAGCAATTATAAACGGTCCTTCCCATAAGGGAGATAATTTATGCCGATCCTGTGTGGTTTGAATTTTCCTCAGAACCAGGTCGCCGACTAAAAAGGCTCGCGATCGAACATTCCGATTATGATAACGGCGCAACCCTTGCAAATACCGAGTCGACTGAATTAAAGCTGCTTCACGGGCTTCTTCTAATCGATTGATGTCGTCTACTCGGCCCTCTTCATAACGCTCCTCGTTGAAGTTCCAAAATCGTAGTGATTCAAATTCCACTTCACTTGGCAACATTGCTTCTGCACCATAAACCAAAAAGAACGGCGACTGGCCGGTAGCCCGACTGGGAGTAGTGCGTAAAGACCAAAGTACGGACGACAGCTGATTGACCCACTTGCCAGCATAGGGACGTAGTCGGTCGAAAACTCGTGCTTTTATCCCTTGAAGTATCATGCCATTAGCACGCTCGACTTGTCCGTTACTCATGGTGTGTGCCACGGTGGCATAGCAAATTTTTATACCGAAGTCTTCACAAAAGTCTTTAAATGCTCCGCCAGTGAATTGAGTGCCATTATCAGTGATGATCCGATTAGGTACCCCAAACCGATGCACAATGTTAATGAAAAAATATCTAGCTTTATCTGCCGTAATCGTGATGACCGGTTTAGCCTCAATCCATTTGGAGAATTTGTCAATAGCCACAAAGAGATGCATGTAACCCCCGACTGCCCTTTTAAACGGGCCGACCATGTCAAGCCCCCAGACCGCAAACGGCCAGGACAACGGGATGGTTTGCAACTCTTGGGCTGGTAGGTGAATTTGTCTGGCAAAAAATTGACAACCCTCGCACGTCCGCACAATCTTGTCAGCATCAGATACAGCTATAGGCCAGAAAAAACCTTGCCGGTAAGCTTTGCCGACAATAGTCCGTGCAGCGGCATGGTTACCACAAATACCAGAATGTATATCCTTCAACAATTGTCTTCTTCTTCCAAAGACACACATCGTTGCAGTATTCCTGATGGACTTTTCTTGTACAGATAAGTTTCATGAATAATGTAAAGTCTGCTGCGCCGAGAAATCCGCTCGGCTTCATTTTTGTCTTGAGGAAGTTCTTGTTTGCTCAAAAATTTTATGAACGGTTCTTTCCAGTCGGCTTCGATCATGCTCACGCCTTGAGTATCCATGGCTTCAATTGTCTCTTTTCTGGGCACGGTTGGTTCGTAAAGATGTTCAACGAACACATCTGATCTGAAGGAGCTGCTTCCCGTTTTGAACCAAAATTGGCCAGCCTGTCGGCTGCCTCATTGTTATGTCGAAGGACATGGGTGAGCTCGAGTCCATCGAATTTGTCTTCCAACTTGCGTACCTCTTGTCGATAAGCGGTCATAGTATCATCTAGACAGGACCACTCTTTCATGACTTGATTAACAACCAACTGAGAGTCCCCTCGGACAATTAATCGGCGAATGCCTAGAGAGATGGCAATCCTTAATCCATGGAGTAGCGCCTCGTATTCCGCCACGTTATGGGACGCAGAAAAATGTATCCACAATACGTAGCTCAATCTTTCTCCAATCGGGGAGATTAAAACAACCCCAGCTCCAGTGCCTGTAAGCCTCTTCGACCCATCAAAATGCATAGTCCAATATTCCATCTTTTCCTCTGGCATGTCTTCTTGGCACTCGGTCCACTCGGCAAGGAAATCAGCTAAAGCTTGTGACTTGGTCGAAGTTCGTGGTTTGAACGATATGTCCAAAGACATCAATTCTAAGGCCAACTTCGCAATCCGTCCGTTTGCTTCGCGATTATGAAGTATATCCCCGAGTGGAAACGATGTGACCACCGTGACCGAGTGACTTTGAAAGTAGTGAGATAATTTCCTGACGGTAATTAAGACACCATATAATAACTTTTGAACCTGAGGATACCTTGTCTTGGAGTCGGCTAAAACCTCGCTGACAAAATAAATTGGTCGTTGGACTTTTTGAATATGGCCTTCCTCTTCATGCTCAACAACCAGGATCGTGCTCACAACCTGGGAGGTCGCCAACACATATAACAGTAGCGGCTCTTGTGGATGCGGCGAGGCCAAAACTGGTGGAGTGGTGAGAAGTCTCTTGAAGTCTTTAAAGGCTTTTTGTGCTTCGGGTCCCCACTGAAAATTGTCAGTCTTCTTCAGCAGCTTGAAAAAGGGCATCCCCCGCTCGCCGAGTCGTGAGACGAACCGGCTGAGTGCCGCCATGCAACCAGTCAGCTTTTGGACGTCTTTTTGGGAGCTTGGCGGTTTCATGTTAAGGATGGCGTTGATTTTCTCCGGGTTGGCCTGTATGCCTCTTTGAGATATCATAAATTCGAGCAACTTCCCTGACGGTACTCTGAAGATGCACTTTTCAGGGTTTAG